TTGACGGTATTATAGTTATTTTCTTTGTTGCTATTAGACTCAAATAGAACAGTCGATTCTGACAAGAGAGGTCAGTGTTATTTTTCAAACAAAAGAAGTTTAATTGTTATTTGATCAAATTTCAAGGGAGATGAATGTAATTATCCTATTTTTTTAACAAAACTTAATTCCACCCTACTCTACCTGTATTCCTATAAGCCCTTTACAATGCTATGCCATTAGTGTGTTTGATATCAATTCAGTAAATCATGCACTGCCACATCAAATATAATCTCAGGCAGAGGGCTTGATTTCCATCTTCTTGGGTTGGGGCAATGAAAGAAGCAAAACCGTACCCATCCTCCAACACCATGATCACTAGGCAAATGCAAAGCAGCAAATATGGGAACAGAATACAAACGAACAGGCCATTATGTATATAAACATATCATCCATTTACACAACTACATCAAATATTAGATTCCACCGCCACCATATATGTTCATGTTAAACATATTGTCACATGTCTCGTGAACAATCCACCCAAGCTAAAACATGAATTACTTCTGCAATATATGCTTTAACAATGAAATAAGAGTCTTAAGTATTAAACCATGTGGAAAAAAAGAAATGAAGAAAGACCATGTCAGTCGTTCGTGATGTTTTAGTCATTGAACTTCATGCCAACAACACCTAAATGGACTAATGCCAACATCATCAAAGGCTTCTTCTGCTCCACCCTGGAAATTTTATCTGTAGATGAAACTCAAAAATTGATCAGATTATCTTTTGGTGATGATTGCTGCTTTTTTGTTTCATGTCCCACTTCAGATGTTCCACCTGCTTTCTTACCGAAGATCATCTCGTCAAGATCATCCATCATGTCATCATTGCTCCCTCCTGGGGCTCCACCACGAGAGCCCACTGGTTTTCGTATCAGGGCCTCTTCTTTGCCTAAGCGAGGCGATTCATCAGGCTCAACAACAATAGGTATCATTGCAGGTTCTGGCTCCCAGGGAATCCCTGAAGATTTATTCATTTCTTCATTCTTGGATAGGACTTTCTGAATTTAATCATTCACATTTAAGGCTTCAAAGAGCAAGGTCTCAATATTCCCAGCGGTCTCAATGATTCTCTGCACAGTAAATTGGGACTGGTGACACTGCTGTACAAGTGTGGTTTTCAAGTCATCCTGCCAAAACAATTCGGAAGTGTTTAGAAATGTGGAGGAAACATTGACTTGAATATCAAAAATCTGACCAGTAACGATAGAAAACTCCAAATTTTGAATAGGGGAAAAAATTTATCAAACTTCTGCACCAATTCATAGCACGAGCTCCAAAATGACTTAGTACAAATGTACAAAATGAAATACCAACAGTAAGCAATGGTCTATGATCAATTAAGTTAGCCACCAGTCTGGCACTTTCAGGATTTTAAAAAAAATCATGTGTTATATATAATGGATCACTGAATGAACGTTTTCACAAATGCAACTAACAAAATTCTTTGTCATGTAAATTCTTTACCAACACATCTGAGAATCCAACTAAAACAATCGAAAAAAAATGAGTATGTTTTTTTTTTTTTGGCATGGGTGTTTAGCGACATTGGAAACCTAGTAGACCTGTAAACAATGATCATAATGGACCCAAAATGCATGTCAGTCGTCAAACTGCTACATCCATACCTATATGCAGCCACCTCTTCCAAGATGAGTGGGTTATCATCAGTAGCATGACGAAGTTGCCCAGAAAGTGGACCATGTCAGATAATTCTTTTAATGGCATGGTTACTCCATTTCTATGCAGAAGCCAAGAGGGCAAACTACATATATTTTTGCTACTAAATCTGAGGTTCAAGTGCTTTGTTTTGACCAACTGCAACTAGGGATAGATATAGCACAATTTATTCCCAAGCCTCCATTTTCATCTTTCACAACCAAAAATATGCAAAATTAAAAAATATATAAGACGATGGTTTTTTGAAGTTGTTGCAGACAAAGAAAAGAGTATTAGTCAGTTTACATCCATCTCCATCCCCAAATCATTTGCCAATTAACTTGTAGATCTCCTTCATCCACAAGCATGACAGCGGCATTCTTATACGGGTAAATACTATCTTAACAAAAGGAAGTAAAGAACATGGTCGTAGTTGGAAACCATAGAAACAATCTTGAAGAATAACTCTTACATCTCCACTGACATAAACAAAATCCCAAACCGCAAAGCTTCAAGGAAATATCATACAATAACAACAAAAAATTCTTTAGTTATACAAGATACGAGTTATAAAAATTCCACTTAAAAACCCATAATCTCCTAGTCTCAAGATTCAATGATATTTAGAGATAATTCAAGGATATTGAGAGATAAGTCAGTAGAAAATCTGCCCCATGATCAGCAGAAAATCTGCGATAGAATAAGTTCAGCACAGCACCTTGGAAACATAAATGCATTCTTATCTTGATTAATAGCTACTGCCAGTATTTTTTTACGCGTATAAATTACCCTCTTGAGTTCCTCTGTTTTTAAAGTGTTCTACTGCATATTTTGAATGTATTCAATCTTTCACAATCTTCTTGTTCCAAGCTATTTTCTCTCAACAAAATTGTAGCTTATCTTTCTAATCTTTCTTTCAATTCTAACATGGTATCAGAGCAAGATCTTTGACCTGTTCTTTTACTCATCTTCCTCACTCTGTTTTCCTTCTGCTGCTGTCTACTCTCATTCAAGTTTCATTATGTCTACAGATGAACCTGTCGGCAATCCTCTTGCCAGAAATCTCTCACAATCCGAGGACCCCATATTTCCTTCACCATTCTGATGGCATTAATAATGTTGTCATCACTCCACCTCTATCTGGCCCCAACTACCTATCATAGAGCCGATCCTTCACCCTTGCACTCTCTGTCAAGAATAAATTAGGCTTCCTTGATGGAAGCATCACTACTCCTGCTACAACCAGCAATCTTTATGGATCATGGGTTAGATATAATAATATCATCCTCTCTTGGATCCTTCACTCCATCTCCCAGGAGATATCATCAAATGTCTTCTTCATAGATGATGCCAAGAAAGTATGGGACAAACTAAAAGACAGATTTGTACAACCTGACAATGCTCGGATTTATCAACTTCAGCATCAACTTGGGACCATCATGCAAAGAACTCAATTTGTAAATGAGTATTTTACTCAACTGAATGCAGTATGGGAAGAAATATACAACTATCGACCATCACCAAACTGCTCATGTGGTCTATGTACTTGTGATGCACTCGGTTCTGTTGGAGAAAGGCAGCTGACAAACTATGTCTATAAGTTCCTTATGGGCTTAAATGAGACATATGATGGCATTCAAGACCAAATCATCATCATGAGTCCCATGCCCTCACTTGACAAGGCCTTCTCACTAGTACTTTGAGAGGAAAGACAAAGGCAGGCTCGGGTTACCATTCTTACTTCTACAGAATCTTGTGCTTTGGCGACATCCCACAATCAGACCAAGAAGAAAAATAAATCTGACCTCACTTGTTACAATTGCGGAAAAGCTGGACACTCTAAGGACAAGTGCTACAGGTTAATTGGATTCCATCATGATTTCAAGTATACAAAGACCAGACAAGGAAACAATCACTCGGCAAATCAAACCACCAGTCACCTTTCTAATGGCAGTGCAGCAGAACCTGCTCAACTAGCTTTGAGTCAAGCTCAGATACAGCAGCTCATGTTTTTGGCAAACTCTCAAACATCATAGCTCAACATAGAGGGCTCGAGCAAAGAAAAAAAATTCCTCACAGCCTGGCCCTTCCAATCATGGCTCCCACATGGCAGGTATGATAAACCACTCACCCTCATCCAAAACTCCTATCCTTCCCTCTGAACATGATCACCATTTTTCATCCATGACCACCTGCATTTCACATAAACCAAAACACATCACATGGATAGTGGACACTGGAGCCACAGATCACATGGTCTGCTCCACCACTCTCCTCTCTTCCATCACCTCCACTTCTCAAGCTTATATACAGATGCCTAATGGAGAAAAAACACAAGTCACTCACATAGGCACTGTCCAGATCAGTGATGCCTTAACTCTCCATGGAGTACTGTGTATACCATCTTTTACTTTTAATCTTCTCTCAGTCAGCAAATTAACTCAAGACTCTTCTTTGTGTCTTATTTTCTCTAAAAACTAGTGTCTCATTCAGGATCTAGCTACATGGATAATGATTGGAGTTGCTAGAATTCGAGAGGGACTCTATTTTCTTGATTCCAATTCACTAGGAAGCTCTTTTGACAATCAAAGTCCAGCAACAACCAATTCTGATCCCAGCCATTTATTTCGTGTCCAACAAGTTTTAGCAAGTCAAGATTTTCATTTATGGCATTTTAGACTAGGGCATGTATCAAATCAGAGGTTAAATTTGATTTCTTCTCATGCCTTAGATGTAAAATGTATTGATTTTAATCCATGTAGTATCTGTCACTTTACAAAACAGAAAAGAAATCCTTTTCCCCGCAGTGTTTCTTCCACTTCCTCTCCTTTTGAGTAAATCCATTGTGACATTTGGGGACCATATTCACAAGCCACACCTCAACGATATCAATTTTTCCTCACTATAGTGGATGACTATAGCCGAATGACATGGATCTTTTTGATGAAGTTTAAATCAGAAGCTCGAAGCCTCTTGCAATCCTTTATCCAAATGACACAAACTCAATACAGTCTCAAGGTCAAACAAATTAGATATGATAATGGAGCAGAGTTTTTGATGCAAGATTTCTATAATAAACATGGAATCCTCTATCAAAAGACATACATTGATACTCCTCAACAAAATGGAGTAGTTGAAAGGAAGCATCAGCACCTCCTTTCCACTACTCGGGCTTTGCTATTCCAGGCCTCTCTCCCAACCAAGTTTTGGGGAGATGCTATTATAACGATAGTTCATTTGATAAATAGAATCCCCACTCCTGTGCTCAACAATCAGTCACTTTATGAGATCTTCTTTTCAGCTTATCTCCTTCTTATTCACATTTAAGAGTCTTTGGTTGCTTATGTTTTATCTCCACTCTTAAACATAACCGAACTAAGCTAGATCCAAGAGCTAGGAGGTGTATTTTCATAGGATATCCGCCAGGGGTTAAGGGGTACAAGGTTTATGATTTGGACAGTCACAAGTATAGCATCTCGAGAGATATCATTTTTCATGAAACTCAGTTTCCTTTCCAGCATCACCACTATAATTCTGCATCTTCTCCATCTTTGGAACCCATTCTAACTCCCATCCCTACGGATGCAGACCTACAAAATCCTCTTCCCTCATCTTCCTTTCCTTCTTTCAATGATAGAGATCCACTCTCACCTCATTCCCTTGACACTGCCTCTTCGACCAACCCCTCTTCCCTCCTTCTGATCCTATTCCTCCCACCACTCTACCAACCACAACCTTACCCTCACCTTCCCATTTACCACAAATTTCACCATCCCCTCCACCCCAGAGAAGATTAGATAGGGTCAGAAATCCACCTAAATATCTCATTGATTACCACTGCAATTTAGCATCTTCACCATCACCTCATCACTCCATTGCCCACCCACTTGAGCATTACCTCTCCTATACTCATTTCTCTCCTTCTCACAAGGCCTATACACTCTCTCTATCCTCTACTTAATATCCTATTACCTATGCAGAAGCCATTCCCTCTGAGCATTGGACCAAAGCCATGACAGATGAGTTAAATGCCTTGGAGGCCAACAATACTTAGACAGTCACTACTCTTCCAAAAGGAAAGAAAGCTATTGGCTGTCGATATGTCTACAAGACCAAATTGCACTCAGATGGTTCTATAGAAAGGCACAAGGCCCAGTTGGTAGCCAAGGGCTACACTCAAAGAGAGGGATTCGACTTCTATGAAACCTTTAGTCCAGTTGCAAAGCTCACTACTGTTCGTGTCTTCCTTGCTTTGGCAGCACTTCATAATTGGCATTTGCATCAATTGGATGTTCACAATGCATTCCTCCACGGGGAT